CAGCCAACCAAAGCACTTTTAATAATATATGGTAAAAGGGTTTAATTTTTAATAGGCAAGAATGGGCAAGAGCTGCTACATGCTGTAGTAGATTGGTAAGGACAGTATTACACTCTGCAGAGTAGTTAGTAAAAAAGAACGTATTTATATCTCAAATGTTATTGAAAACATGTTTATTTTATTACTAGCACCAATGTATAATTGAAGAACCTGTCGAATCTGGAATTATTGTTCACACCTTATTTACCAAGAAGACAAAGTCATTTTCAGCTTGTTACCATAATAACTCAAGCCTCTCATTGTTTTCTGTCTCTCATGGTGTTCTGCTGCTCCAAAAGCTTAAAGAAAGAAAAGAAAAAAAAAGGTGAAGTTACACATCTGTATCCTGGATTCAGCTAATCAAGGTGGAAAATATCTTCAAAAGTTGGTGACTGATTCCTAGGGGTTAACATTAAAATAAGATTATTTGTACCTTGGTATTTGTATGCATTTGTCCTCTGTTTATTACTACCCAGCTAACAGGAAAGCTTAGAGCTACATATAGGTGAAAATGTGGTTTAAAATGGTTTCATAAATGTTATTTTTCCATACCAACCTATAGTACACAAAGAAGGGGGCTTTCATAGTAGAGTGAATTCCCCTATTCTTCTAAAAAATCCCAATAGCTGAGCTAATGCCTCATTAATAAAGATAGAAATTATCACTGTGTCCTCAGTAATTGTACTGATGTTGAGGCTTTATACCCGTGGTATTTCAGCAGAGTCATTTCTGATTTAGTTCTGGTTTCCTAATGAAATGAGACAAATCTGTTTCTCTGTCCATAAGTGTGTGTCTGTCAGTCACCCTTGATAACTCTCAAGTCTAGAAGCCAAGTTCAGTAAAATTTGGCAGGAATAGACACGCTGCTCATGCAGACATCCTACAGTAAGGTTAATAGTTACTGGACCCCAGAGAATATACATTGTCATTAAATCTTCAATCAAAAAGTCATGGGAAACTGAGCTTCACTGGTTCCTCTGATCACAGAAATATTTATTACCAGTATGAAAGGGACATCCAGCCTACATCTGTAAACAGTGTCAGGATACTGAGTGGAATGAAGGTATATTTATCTGCTTAGAGTCATATATATTCAGGGCAAATGCACCTTGCATTGTGCACCAGAACCGAAGCACAACAGAACAAAGCCAGCAAAACCCACTTCATGCCATAGGAATGGGTGAAAAATGAATAGAATTGCTTGCCAATGAAAAAAAATTATACATTTTTAAATCTTCTTTCTTCAAAATGAGCCATAGGATAGGCCATAGAATACATAATGGCAAAATGAATATATTATGAATGATTTATCATTATGGAAATGCACATATGCTTATTGGTGGCATGAGTCATATAACATGCAGTTTTCACACAATGTGTTGTTAATAATGGATAAGGATTTATCAGTATATTCTTATATAAAGAAAGAGTAATATTAAAACTTGTTCTTTTACTGGAATCAAATAACTGCGCTGGAGTTGCTTATGAAATTGAGCTACTTTTGCCATTAGTACTAATTCTATTTTAATGTCAAATTTTTTAAGTAGATATCCATCAACTTGTGAAAAATCAGAGCCACCTTATTGTTGTACTACTTAGCCAAAATGCTCCTACATACGTGCCAAAATGTGCCTACTTACACTAAATAAAGAGTCAAATGTGCCAAATGTGCTTACCTACACTAAATGTAAAGACAAAAAGAAGCAAACGTTACCTTGCCCTAGTTTGTAGCATGCACTTGCGAGAAAACTCTTAAAATTAGCCCTACCTGTGAGGCCTGTTTCACATGTAGATGGCAGGGCTCATTTCTATTGAACTGGGGAATTTTGAAAACAGAAGTCCAGTTATGGTCAGGTCCTCTGAAGAGCTTGGCTGATGAGTGATGTAAGACAGCAAGACAAAACAAATGTAGGACCAGAGGCTAAGAACTCGAAAATTGTTTTCAGCTGTACTCAGAGCCCTTTCCCCTCTATATGCCTTAATCAGACCCTTTGTGGATCAAGCTGGAGCAATTCGAGAATAAACAGCCCACTTCTCCAACACAATGTGCCTCCAATAAATGTGTCTTCCCTCTGCAAATTAATAATTTTAATAGATCGTGCCAGGATGCCTCAGCTGCCTCAGTTGGAAGTTAGCTAGGCCAGTTTAGGCTGCTACTGAAGACGGCTTAAATATAGCAGAATTTTCAGTCACATTGATGAAGAGTGCTCACGTTATCCATTCTAGTACTTGAGCACTAGGTTCTTCCTCATGAAAGATAATGAACAATCATTGTAACTGCTTGACTTGAAGTTTCCAAGGAGTTCCTGGCAAATTAAAGGCAAATTAATTCATAAGAAAGTATAGGGACATACAATTCCCTGACTGTCTGGCATGAAAAATACCTGAAAACTTCACTTTATGTTGATTAGAAAATCAACATACATAGGAGGTAAACTGAATGTCAAGAAAGCCTGATTTGGCTTAGACAACATCAATACATTTTCCTGTTCTGTCTAGGGAAAACAAAATTTGTATTTGTGCCAAAAAAATGCAGAAGAGTTTTTGGATCTTGCCAATTCCATTTAATTTAGAAAGCAAATATCTTCACACAGTTAATTGAGAGACCATCGATCAAGGTTCATAAACCAGCAGCTAGATAAAAGGAAGGCCCAGTGGTAAATGACCACGTTAGATAGATATCAGAGCATGAATTGCATTCATTATTGTCTTTATTGTAGCTATAAAGAAAAGGAACTTGAAAAATCCATCTGTTCCCACAGATGGAAGCCCCCAGACATGAGGCTCCAGAGAGCCAGGAACCCACATTCAGCCCTTGGTGAAAAGAGGCAGTTGCTGCCCAACATAATAAGGACATGGGTCCATTGGAGTGGGTCCAGAGGAGGGCCACAAAGATGATCAGAGGGCTGGAGCACCTCTCCTATGGGGACTGAGAGGGATGGGTTTGTTCAGCCTGGAGAAGAGAAGGCTCTGGGAAGACCTTAGAGTACCTTCCAGTAACTTAAGGAGGCCTACAAGAGAACTGGAGAGGGACTTTTTACAAGGGCCTGTAGTGATAAGACAAGTGATAGGAATGGATTTAAACTTAAGAAGTGAATTTGGATCAGATATAAGGAAGAAATTCTTCACTATGAGGGTGGTGAGTCACTGAAACAGGTTGCCAATAAAAGTTGTGGAAGTCCATCCCCTGAAGTGTTCAAAGCCAACTTGGATGGGACTTGCAGCAACCTAATGTAGTGGAAGGTGTCTCTGACTATGGCATGGGGGGTTGGAACTAGATGATCTTTAAGGTCCCTTCCAACCCCCAAAAAATCTATGATTTCTATGATGTTTGAACCCAACCTTTTCTGCTGTCAGCCAGGGCCAGAAAGATTGCACACAGCAAAGAAACAAAGAGGAGATTACGTAAATAGTATGTACAACAACAAGGGAAAGTGGCATACAAAAGTCAGTGACTGATCAAAATTCATTCTTTTCTCACAGGGGCTTCTAATTAGCTTGCTGATACCATTCTCATCTATTTTAACAATTTGATGGTCTCCTGTCACATAAAAAATGAGCAGAATCTTTCACACCCCTCCACCTGGTGAAGTTCATCTATGAGAAACTGTTCCCTTTTCACTTTTAAATCTGTCAGTGGGATTTCCCTCTGAAGGCTGTTTATGGCTTTCAGGATCTCAGTTTCAGGGAATCTAAGGTAGAACTGGCTCCATGCACGCATCCATAAAAACAGCCACCTTAATTCTAAAATGAGGTTACTTGCGACTTCTTCAGCTTCATTGTCCAGCAAAGACAGTAGCATACTGTCAATTGATAAACAGCCCATACTATCCATGATGGCCACAGCATAAAACAAGGTCTCTTGAGACAATGTTTCCTGTGCTGCATGGAACAGACATTTTACAACCCTGGTGATAAATTGCAAAATAACATGTCTAGAATCCAGTTTCCAGTGTGAGTATTTATCACAAGTAATCAGGTTTCCTCCATATGTAGCTGATTTTAAGTATTAACTTAAATCAGTTAAAGAATTTAAGAATAACAAATGGAAGAACAACACAATATTTTTTTTTTATGTTAGTCTGGCTCACCAGCCCATGTAGCAACTGATTCAATGTGAACTTTAAGGGTACATTTAGTGTTCTGGGACAGAACATGCATGAGCAGTCCAGTGTTTTCACTGCATGCGACAAAGTGCAGATGCCTTTTTAAAAAATACTATTGGAAATATAACCTAAAGAATATAGATGTAACATAACCTTTGAAAGTTCTAAAACTTTAACTGATGGGCAGAGTTTCAAAAGCATGTGTCTAATCCATTCTGAATGCAAATTAACCTGTCCAATTTAGAGCATAGACTCTATGCACGCAAATAGATCACATTGACGCATAACATCTCTTATGACCTGATCAACAACTTAGATAGCACTTAATTTCAATGGGCCAAATGTCCCTAGCTCTACGTAAGTATATAAATGAGCATTCTATGATCCAAAAGGATCATTTAAGCAGAAAAATATTTACATGGAGAAAGCTTCCTTTCATAGTCCTTCTGAAGACACTGATACAAAAGAAAGAAACAAGGTGATTTTGTCTACTGGTGATGAAGCATTGTGACTATTGTATATCCTTACTGTTGTTGCTTAATTAGCTAATTAAGACATACTTCAGCAGAAGAAAACATTTGTAAGGTCAGCGTATCCCTAATAAGAAGTTATGTTGTTTAAAAAGCTTCACAAAAGAAATTCTGAACATACTTCAAATATATTCAAATTGGTTCCCTAATTAATATTAAGAATTGGAGCTTTAGAGACTGATGTAATAGCAAAAAAAAAAAAAATTGTTTTCTGATTATATAAAAAGATGGAAGTTTTCTGTACAGATTCTGGGCTCTCTAAATAACCTTAACCTGAGAAAAATGAAAGTAATTTCAACCAAGAAGTTTATTCTGTTTGCTTTAGCTACAGTGGTCTTTCTAACATCAACTAGTATGTGCCTAAGTGAACCAATGAAGTCCAGTCTGGAGAGCAGAGAAGACGATGATAAATATTACGAGGTAAGATCTGTATTACTATGACATTATTTGGGGGAACTGTGGATCAGATCCTGAGAATATTGGACTTTTTGGCAGAGGCTCTCCTAACTTCATTGTGCAGCATTCAGCATTACAGCACTAGCAGTATGAAAAAACCTTGCTGAAAGAATTTTCAGGAAGTTCATTCACTTGGACATATATACCACGTAAATCAATTCATGTTTCAATTTTCTTGCAATACAGATTTGCGATTAGTCTGAGATTTTTTCTGAAATGATTCTTACACAGTGGGGTCTCAATTAATATTCCTGTCAGGCACTTTATGCACATAATATAACAGATAGATTATTAATCCAAAATTAATAAAGGCATGCTTGTAATACTCAAAGAATAATAATAAACAGAGAACATTTTAAGTCTAATATAGTTAATGGTCTTAACATTTTACTCTGGAATTGACCATAAAAATTTCTTTGCACGGTTGCACATTTATTATGTCTCAATAGATGCCAAATGAAATTTGCACACTTCATCTGCATTATTTTTCATATCTGCCCTGCAAATACTCCCCAGGAAATGAAAGCCAACCTGTCTTTTTGACTTATCATCATTGGTATAATAAACATTCTTCAAACCAAAATACAATTTCAATTGTGCTAGTGAAATCCTCTGGTCTTCAGCTTACTGTCTTTTACACACTTCTAGAAAGGGTGTGCAGGTGCAATCAGAGGGATAGTTTGTTTAATGTTTTAATCATGAAGTATGAACTGGAATGGCTCATTCCCCTTCTCTGCCAGTAACTGGGAAGTCATCAAAGAGGGGCAAGGAATTGAAGTTAGGTTAAGTGGCATTTGTGTCTTTTAACTGAAATTTAAAACCATATTTGTACATATTTGCTGTTAAGGCTTGGAAACTTATTTTTGTAACAAAAGTGCCTGATTTTCAATATGCCCAGGGAAGAATACTCCTCTATAAGAAGGGTCATGCTGTTACAGCTATTTTTCAGGCAACAGCTACCCTTTACATCATGACACAGGTAATGTGGAGTTTAGCAAACACAGCTAAAAAGCATTACACATTCAAAAAAAAAAAAGAAGACTGTTACCCATCAGCTTTCTAAGGTGAGATGAAAATGAAGGCTTTGTGTGACTGGTAGCTGGAGTAATGCCCTATAAAATGATACTATTCTTTTTTAAATTATTTGTCTTTAGATTAAAGATATTTTGGAAGAAATGCAGAGGAGTCTCAATTTTGAAGAAATGGAAGACTGGGCATCAAAAAATACCATGAACCCTTTTACTCTAAACAAGATGCCAAATTCAGTTGCTAATTTACCTCTTAGATTTGGAAGGAATTATCCAGAAGAAAGAAGCATTAAACCATTTGCTAATTTGCCCCTGAGATTTGGAAGAGCTTTTGGAGACAACATACCTAATCATGCTCCAAAGGTATCACACAGGCTTGGGAGATCTCCACTTGTTAGAAGTTCCAGTCAATCACTTCTAAATTTGCCACAGAGATTTGGGAAGTCACTGACTGTCAATCAGGAATCTGAACCAGGTAATACTACACAGTGTTCACGCCATATATTAAAATGCATGTTAAATCATAGGTTAGTGATGATCAAATACAGCTAGAATTCCTCAAGGAATATTCCTAAACATTTCAATGTAAGTTTGATTTGCAAAAAGAAAGATTTGCAGTTCATCACATCAAAAAGTTTCATCAAAAGAATGAATAAAGAATCTCTTCATAAAATCTTTTCTAATGAAAAGTCACCAAATAGCCAAATCTGAAAATACTCATATGACAGGATAACGTTTGCTGCTTTTTTAGATCAGGTTCCATTTTGAAAATTTATAGCTTTGGTGAAAAAAATTCAAAATCATTAAAATATCCCATTTCAGCACTATAAAATGACAAACTTACCTAAAAATTACTCTTCCATTTTCTAAATGTATGCAAATTAGAGTTAAAAAAAGAGACAAAATACCAAGCTGAATAGCAGCATTTTGAAAATGTTTTTTTCTCACTCAAGCTATTTTTTTCCCAGATTGTCTTACAGCGATAATATTTGGAATTTTGATTGTTCATTCCAAGTTAAGATGAAAAATTTTTTTTTGACTTCTTAGAATTTTTTTCAGGATAGGAAAGCTATTTCCTGCCCATTACTAAGAATAATTGAAACCAGCTCTTCAATAACCATCCTTCTTATCAGAATTGTTGCCTTGTTGGAACTGTCCATTTGTCTTGTAACCAAGTTTCATTTGGCTACCCCTGACTTGCATCTGACACATGTGTAGAGTAGAAGTTCAGGCCAGGAAACACAATTAATAAATCAGAAGCCAAAATTTTTACTTATTTAATTTGATTCCTTTCATTCCTTTCTCACTGTCTCACCTAATTAGAAGAGATTTTGTTTTATTTGTCTTCTATTTTTAGGGATATGAATTCTAAGAGTCACAATAATACTGGGATGAAATTATGAAGATGAAATCTGAAAGACTTGGAAAAGCTGCAATGTGTGTTCAAAACCAGAAGTCATGAAAAGGAAACGTGAACCTAAATGTAAACCTGTCTTCATGTTATGAATAATATATTAATTATGTACAAACTTTTGACATATAAGGCAATGATAATTGTAGTGATTATTGTAGTACTTTACTTCAGTGGCAGTGTAATATAAATTCTATTTACTTCTGTGTAACTCATATCCTGTTGGTTGTAAAACCTAATTTCAGAACAATGGCTGTATAATTCAAAGCATTTTAAGCAAAAGAAGCATAGTATGAATAAAGATGCATGGTTCAAATAAAAAGAAACCTACAATGTGAATAACAAACAGAAGCAGGATCAAAATCACCAGTAGCCTAAACAAAATCAAGTAAAATGTTGAGAAAGCACTTTTCCTGTTGTTTATGGGTCATGTTAGATATAAATCTCAAAGACAACATGTCTCTGGTAGGTGGCTCCAACATCTCTTCTCCTGCTCACCAGCTAGTCCAGCTTTAAATTGATATTAGAATCACACACACATATGGGTCCCTTCATCAGCAGCCATTCAATGCTCAGTCTCTTCAATAGCTTGTATCCAGACAATATATCTCTCCAGTTCCTCCCCCTAGACCTGCATGTCAAGCAGACCACTCACTCAACTCACTCAACTCACCAACTAGCCCGGCTTGAGATTTACTAGCAGATCATACACGCATATGTTCACAGTGTCCATGCACACTCATATAGGAAAACATTCAATTATTGAGTTTAACAAGGACATGAGACCAGGAACAGGACATAGCCTGACTAAAATTACTGGTAGCAGCTTGACTGCATGCAGTCAGTCTCTTTTATCCCTCCTCTTCTCCATTTTCCTATGCTCGTTCTCCCTCCTTCTGTCTTGATCCCTTCCTGTAACTGTCTTTTGTGCTCCCCTAAACATCCCAAAACAAGACTAGCACTTTCCCACATCCTTTACAACATCCCATAATAAGTTTTATAAGATCCTACAAGCCCTCTCAAATATCTCATTGTTTTGCACTTTCCCATGAGATCCATGATACCAGATACAGAGCTCTGGCTGAACCTCCTCAAGTCATTGAGTGGTTCCTCTAGAGTCCCATAAGCAGTGATCTAAGAGTTCTGCTCTTTGTTACAGTTTTGTTATCTCCTCTTGCTCAAGGTATCTAAGAGTTTAATTTATTACTTCTCCTGTCTCTTGTCTTACTTAGTCTTTTGTGCTGAATAACCAGTAACCAGATATCCTTACATTCCACATATCTTTAGAGAAACTTGGAAAAAAAACCTAATCAAATTGATCAGATAAATTCATAGTTGGGACAGCGCTTGAGTTGCCATTCCTCTACAAAGTTAATGAGGCTACTTGAAACACAACACTATTTGTTCAACCTATAACTGGTCTAATTCAACCCAAAGGAATCAGACCACTGTCCTGAGAATATCTATTCTCTCTACTCACTCATACTCAAAATAACAAAGAGATCTAAACAGATTAAAAACAATGCGATTGCATCTTTTGAATGAAAGAATCCAAAACCAATCCCTGGGCTTCTCTCTAAGCCTCAGAAAGCACTTTACCTAACAAGGTCTGGCAAAAGACCTGTTTTGCAGTATAACATTTTGGTACTACGGACAAGTCCATGATGAAGGACACTGATCAACAGATTGTTGATCAGTGAAAGTCCAAGACACAGGCTAAAAACCTGCCACAACAACAGGTGTTATTCTTTCTTGAGTCAGGAAAACTGGGATCTTTTAAGTGATTTACAGTCAAACGAACAGCGGAAGGAAATGCCCGGAACTTTGAGCTGTGTTTCTGGTCCTGCAAACCTCACTGCACATCATGTGAACCAAGAGTAAATAAGGTTTGTGAGAATCCCTGAGCAGCAATAGAAGCTGCCTTTTTAAGGCACATATCACCTAGCAATAGGGAAAGGGTACACATCAATTGGCATTAATGATGGCTGCTATGGGAGGAAAGCAGAAGCCCAAACATTGGCCCAGCAGCAAGTACAATCAGGTGGCCCTCTTATTGCAAACTTCACAGCATGGATACAGGAGATGGCTGTTGATTTATTTTCCCTCAGCAGAAGAACAGCCAGGTGAAAACTACATAAAGGAGGAATTATGCTATGCTGTGCAAAATTTGTTTGGCTTGAGAGTATGTGAGTCAAGAAAACAATCACTGGATAGTGCAATGGATGAAGAAGTGGCACAACAGGCAACACACATTGGTCTAGTTATCACTCACCAGATTATTTATTATCCATATATAAATATTATTCATGAATTGTGAAAAAGCAAGGAAAGGACTCGAGTAAATCAATTGACAGACAATTGATGCTTACTGGCATGAATTCCAGTAGGGTTCAGGTGCTCCCAGCCTTCCTTGCCATACAAGTAATATTTATGTCTATTATTAAAGTCTCCATGCAAAACCACCAGGCTTATTTTAGATTCTGACTTAAACTTATAGAGAGGACAGCTGACAATCTACTGATTAATTTATAAGTCCAAGGGCTCATCATGTGGTCGATTTCAATACATCATTTGGATAGATTTAGTAGAATGTAAATTGACACTTTCTGTTTACCCTCAGAAGGAGCCAGACTTGGGAACCTGGCATTTGAAATCTGTCAATCTTAAATTCCCTTCAACTGCTTTTGCAACTGCCTTTTGCATTTTCTTCAAAATATTACAACTGGGCTAGCCTTAGCAATCACAGACCACTAGAAACTTTCAAACTCTAAACAGGACATTTTAAAAATTGCCTCAGGTTTAAGAGCAGCTACAAGCAGGAATTGGTAATACTTTCTTTAGTGACAGCCACTAAAGTACATCTAGCGCAGATGCGTGGACAACCACAGACATCTGATTTGCATTTGTGCTGCTCTCCTGATCACATAAAGTGTAGAAGGGCTTCAGCTAGTGCCACTCAGATCTTTCGTAGCACAGAGTATGGATGAGAAAAATCTGTGCATTAAGAGAGAAGAGAGAGGCTTATGGTATCCTTATGTGTATTTTATCTCAAGAACAACAGACAGTGTCAAATAAGTTTTTTTCTTCTTTTCATATCTATGTACATTTATCCTATACAACAATTCGCCAAAAGGTCAGTCCTATGGCCTTACTCAGAACTGTATCCAATTAAAATTTTGGTGAAAACCAACAAAAAATGGGTGTCTCTTACAGCTGCCATCCAAATTATTCACTTAGAGGCCTAAAGTTAACTGGTGAAATAAATATTCTAGACAGGCTTTCAGAAAACTTAAACAACTTTGTAGGCTACCATGGTATTTGTAATATTAGAAAAGTATATGGCTATAATAGTTTTCTAAAAACAGAAGGTATTAAATGCTATTAAAGTTCATTCCATCCCTTTATGACCATCCTCCAACCTGCTGAGAGTGCATAAGGTGAAGGGAAAACCAGAAGGTTGTTTCCTTTTTTTACAGGTCTTAAAGAAGGAGTCAGGTGATTAAAACAGAGATAGGTCAGAAAAATTCTGCACAAGAAAATTAAGTTCACTAAATCTCAAATTTTCAGAAGCACCCAAGTACTACTTTGTCTCACATAGCAGCACCTTGGCAGACAATTACTTCTTTTAAGGCCCTGCTTTCAACAGGAGGTTGGACCACATGATCTTCAGAGGGCCCTTTTAACCCAAACATACAGTTCTTCAGGCTTGGGAAATGTAAGACTAAGACAAAACACTTCACAAAGGAATCTTTATTTCCTTATATACCTTTATAACTTTGATCCCAAGTCCCTTACCAACTGTAGGTCACCTGCAACAACAGAAGGTTTCCTAGCCAATAGCAATAATGGCACAGCTAGGCAGGAGCATTTAACAGTTCTCATTTTCTGGAATATGCTGACTACTTAGCTATTTTCCCCTATTTTGTCATATTTAGGATATTTGTTCTGGGTTTGAAGCATTTGGACCTGGAACACTTCCTATTTGGATGAATTAATAAAGGAGAACAGAGAGAAACTTTTTAAAATCAGCTGTTTCTCCTAGTTGCTTAGCTCTGTGGATATTTAAAATACATCTACATCTTGGGGTAATAAAAGTGTTTGGAATTTATTATATGGCCAATACGGAGAAATTTACTTGTAAAAGAATGGAGACAAGTTTTCTTTAAACACTGTTGTTGAAGAGAGAGGCTCAAGGAAAACATAAAAGCATATGTTTGGTGCTGAGCTTGTCTTTCACTGTGGTTACTGTTTTGACTAAGTACCTACTTGCCTTTAGAGACCATCATCAATTCTGAGAGCTGCAGGTTTGCCTCTCCCTCAAGCGACATTTCAAATGAAATGGTACTGCTTAATTAGGCAGCTGATTTCTTCAGGCAGCTATGAAAGAAAAGTCAGAAGTTTAATTTAGATGTGTGTGAAGACATAAAGTACCAGTGGAGGTACTGCAGGATATCTATAGTGTAGATATACTGGGATCACATATGGTTTATGGAATCTTGAAAGAAGTGAACACAGGTGATTCTGAATTGCTCTTGATGTGACAAGTCTGCAGAAAGAGCAGGGGAAGGGAAAAGAGCAGACAGTTTTCAGATGGTACTTCCTGTGTCAGCTCAGCCACCACAACATGCTTCTAGAAGTTCTATATTTCAAGATATTTCCTAACAAATGTATTCTTGCACATTTATACTGCATATGATTTAATGAATCCACAAGAGTGGCCCGGAGGATTGCAGAGCCCACCCCAGTCTCAGATGTATAACTAGCGATAAATTTTTCCTGGATCTTATTTGCCTCTGCTGCTAAGTGCAGATGGTGCAGACACTGCAACATGTGCAAAAGTGATTTTCTTAGTCATCGCAGAAATCACTGAGATGAGGATACAGTAACTTGGGCTGACTGAAAAGGAACATGCAGGAAAAAGTTTGCAGGTAATATACAAGGTAATGAGGGGTTTTTTCCACTGTTTTCCAACATGTAACAGAAAAATATTCTCATTTGTTAGTATTATTTTGACAGTGAATAATCTATTATTTTTTTTAATACTTTTCTCTTAAATCACTATTGCATTATATGCTCTCATAGATCTGTTACGAAATTTCTTGTTCAGACCCTCACCAGAGAATAAGCATGAAAGACATCACTGTACATGCATGTGTACCTATTCTGTCTCTGG